GACTATCAGAATTTCTTGTATCTATATATTATTTGCTCAAATATTGCTTTTGCGTGGTTGACGGGGTGAAGTTGATGAATAGACGGGCCATGTAGGACAACAAAGGTTAATTCCACACTTGGGATGGAATGGAAGCAGGACGACAACAAAGTGGGAGCGCCGCTTGGGGAAGAAACTGGTTTGGATAAGGTTTCTGTGTATCGATACATCAAGTTTATAGGGACATAAATGTCATTTCAACTCCTGTAAAACAAAATGAAATCTTCACCCTCTGTCCCGTCTTCTTCAACTCCATCATTCTGAGACTCCAACAATTCTCATTATATTACAATTACATTCAATCCCTTGTTCAAACATAATCAAGTAACTGACTTGGTATAATTGAAGGGACACCCACCCAAATGGCTTGGGTGTCGTCGATCTGTGAGGTACGGAAAGAGAGAGGGGGGTTGCCATTGGGTGGAGATGTGTGAATTGAGTGGGTTGCTGTGTGAGGGAGGTGGGTGGCTACGGGACCGACGGGACCTATCCAAACCAGAGTATTGTAGAAGAAACCTTATCCAATCATACGTCACCGTGATCTCCAATCATACGTCAGTATCATCTACAACACATGAGGACATTGCACCAAAAACCGGCCGGGCAATTAAACCGCCAACCCGAAAAACCGGCCGAACCAAACCGATCGGGTTGGTTTGGTTTGGTTTGCGGTTTGAAGTTTTCACAGTAACCGGTTTACCCGAACCGGACCGATCACTGTTCACCAGCCAATATTCCAAAAATTATTGCACAAGGTGGGATTCGAACCCCTTCCCCCTTTGTTGCTGGGTATTCCACCATCCACTGGAGCAAGCAAGCATCTTTTTAAACATTGACATAATAAATTTATTTAACCACTTTCTAGTAGAATAAATATCATAAACAAATGTTAAGACCTCTCTTTTTCCGCACAACTTTTTCTCTCTCTTTTGGACGACTTCTTCTTTTCTCTTTTCTCTCTCTTCTTTCTTCTTCCTCCCTCTGTTTCTATTATGTTACAGCTTTTTCATCTTCTTCTCCCTCCCTCTCTCTTTCTTTTCTTCCTCCTTCTTCCTTAGTCTCTCTGCAATTTTTTCCTCTTCTCCCATATCTCTCTCTTTTTTCTATTTTTTTTTCCATGCTCTCTCTTCTTTCTATTGTTTTCCATCACTCTCTCTCCTCTTCCTTCTTCTCCTTCTTCCTCCTGCTATCTGTCTCCTTCTTTTTCTATTTTTTTTCCTTCTTCTTCTTCCTTTCTCCCATGTCTCAATCTCTCACTATATCATTTTTTTACCCAACTTTCTTCTTGCTCTCTCTCTTAGGTCAAAACCCGAAACCGAACCAAACCAAACCACAAACTCCGGTTAACCGGAATGGTCGATTTCATTGGTGATGGTTCGGTGTACGGTTTCAAAAATAGCTAAGCCGAAACCTTCGGTTCAGGTTTGGGTTGAGCCCAAAACTGAACCAACCCGAACCGAGCCCAACCATACTTTTAGCCATGTTTTATTTTTCTTATACTCATTTTGCCCATAAATCATGACGAGTCAACCAAATATTCTAGCAACCCCAAGCTGCAGCCCGGCTCTCCTTGAGCTTGGGCCAGCCCTCTTTAAAGTCTCTCCTATGGACACCATCAACTTTCAACTTCTAAAGCCTATTCTTCTAGTTTACTTGTTTTTCTTTTTTGAGATACAAAATATCCTTACAAATTAGCTCATGCATTTATGTCATTTTAGAGAGTTTATCATTGAAATTGAAAGAGCTAGCTCATCATACTCTTGGTCAGGGAAAAAAAAAACTTTTGAGTTACATTGTGCTGTAGCTAATAATAAAAGTTTGTAAATTCGAACTTAAAATCTCTCTCAAGAAAAGAAATAACACTAAATAAATAACTAATTGACAAATAAACAAATTTTACTACATCTAATCGCAGAATTTTAATAGTTTAGCCTTTCACAAGAGATTTATATAAAAAGAAATTGACCAGCCAATTAATAACTTACATTTGAGTCAAATATTAAAATTTTCCAAGCCAATTTATATTTGTTAATGTTGTTTTATTTTCCTTAAAAATACAAAGAAAAAACAACTAATTTAAACATTAATAAAAGCAAAATACAAGCAAGTAGCAACAAGAAAAACACAAACTAACAATTACGTACCAGAGAATTGGGAGGCATGAAGTTCACCGACTCACCCGTGATAGAGCTCCCGGTTCGAACCGCCGTCCTTTCCCTCCAACAGGACAACGGCTCCCTCCACGTCGGCACCTCCGTCTGGCCCTGTTCCCTGGTCCTCGTCAAATTCGCCGAGCGCTGGGCCCCACCCGGCCCCGATGCCCAAAACCCCTACGCCAACCTCCTCGACTTCCACGGCAAGCGAGCCGTGGAGCTCGGCGTCGGCTGCGGAGCCGCCAGCATGGGCCTTTATCTGCTCGGCTTGACCGACCTCGTCCTTACCGATTTTCCCGCGGTCATGTCCGCACTGAAGCACAACCTCAAGCGCAACAAGCCCGTCCTGGGGAAGACGCTCAAGCACGCCATCGTGCACTGGAACAAGGCGGCGGATCAGGCCAAGTCCCTGAGCCCTCTGTTGAC